GGGCCCTAATTGTCCTATGCATAATGTGTTCCCTGGTCAAAAACTTAACCCTTATTATATTTACCCTCCTTCTAACCAGTAACCGCAACATTCTTGTAAAGCCTATTCATTGATTTGTATAAACTCAACTTTGTTAAATATTTCAATGTACCATTTGCTTGAACTCCCTAGCTCTCTGCATGACTAGATTGTTGCGGAAGATAATTTTTAGGTCGCATTGCATTCTATGATGTCGCTAGCTCGGCAGTAGAAACAAATGATCCCCATCACGGATAACACTTATGTCATCAATTTCTGCATTCTCTGCATTTACAACTTTTGTGAAATTGTAGTCTCCAAACTTATGACCTGCAGTTTCACAAGGTACGCAGGTAGGATCAGATAAATCACTGTGAAAACTTAATGCTTCTATTTGGTTAACTAAAAAAGTTTATTAAAATCTAAGTAAGTTTACAATTAATTTTAACCATATATTTCATGAACCCTGATTTGTATCTAAACCAAACAGGAGCAATATCTGTAAACTAATGTATTTGAAGTTTGAGATTTTTCCTTAATTATCATTTTTTTCTTGTTTGGTGGGGATTAAAATCAGATTTTTAGTAAATTTTGATAGAAGCGGATGAAATATAGGGTTGAAAAACTGTGAGGCCATAAAATATGTGGTTAAAAATAATTGTTGACTTTGACTTAGATTAAAAGATTTTAATTTGTACCGAACAGGGACTAAATCTATAATTAACCATAAAAATGATTTGTTTCGAATTTGTCTAGGGCTCGAAAGAGGCTTACCTGCTATTTCTAATAGCATTTCTAGTGAATCAGGTAGAATTATTAGCTTCCCAAACTGCTTTAGTGTAATTTTGTCATTTTGAAACTTCATGTGAATGGTAACTCTCTTCTTGGCTGATTGTAAAGCATCTTCACTGTTGGGATAGCTTAAACTGCTTGAGCTAATATATGTTTGTATCCCTTGATGACTGTTGGCATAAATATCAGCCCCATTTTCTGTATTCTGACTAATCCTGGTTGTTTCACCCATTTCTGTCCCTGATAAGTCGATTTTGTACTCATCTAAATTTCTTTTATTTTCATGGCTCAACATTGGGTCATAAGTGCCTTTAGTTTTATCAAGCCAGTTACTGTGGATCAAAGTTGGATCGTGATAACCCTCGATGTCAATGCTCCTCCATCTGCCGAGTTTCTGCAATTAAAATTAGTGATTCAGTTAGTTTTTGCAAACGAGAGGATAGCAATATAAAGCTCCTTGAATTTACCAGGAAAAGATTGTTCATAATAGTGTGTTTGTCTGCTGGATTTGCCTGAAGAATGTTTAGTAATGCTGTCCTGTTCAGTCGTAGTATTTGAGAAAGTTCAGTGGTTCGGACACCAGCCGGCTGAGGCTTTCCACATAGAACCCCTATTTCTCCGAACATTTCCCCTGATTTAGCCTTTCTTAGGACCTGTATGCGTATAGAAAAATTATGTGATATTCTACACTGTCCTTTGTTCTTATTTATATGCAAATTTACAGATATAGAGTGATGTAAATCTTGCTTACTTGATCATGCCTATCAATACTTGCAATTAGTTCCTGTGACAACCAAAAAGTATTTTAATGGGTATGAGAAAAGGCAAAAAGCAAGAAGTTTTTAGGGATTTCATCATAATTCCTAGTTTGTTTGAGGTATGCGATTACTTACCACTTCCCCTGAGACAAGTATATATGAATCTGTTGGGGCCTCATGCTGCAAAATCACATCTTCTTTTGGAGGGTAATACTCGGCTTCCAATTCTGGGACCTTTTCAAAGAATAAGAATACCAGTTCAAACTTATATGGTGGCTTCTCTATGAGAAGATGGTGTTAGAGGAAGAAGAAAGAGAAGAATACCAGTTGGAAAAGGAAGTCTTGTGAAACACCTTGGAAGAGATGGACATTTTGAACAATGGGGTAAAATAGATAGTGAGCAATGTTGGAACAAATGGCCTTGGGCAGTCCATTAAGGGCCTCTTGCTGTTTGAATCCTTCTGTTTTGAATTTGAGACATATATGTGACAGAAGTTGCTCGTGTATATGTGGAGGCAAATGGTTCCGTTTTGTGAATTCTGAAGCAGCTCTAATGGTATCTCTCTACAACACCAAACCAAATTTTTGTTCATAATACTCAGACAGCATACCAAATATGTACTTGACAAACTTCTTAATTGGGAGAGAGTGAAGGAGACAGGGGGGAGAGGGGAGGCTTACAAAGTTTCTGGTGCGGCTGGTCCAATGAACTACAAGGTTTGTCATGTTCCCTATGAGGTAAGATGTCAATCCCAGATTGAATAGCATGTAAAAGATATCAAACAACATCTCTCTTGGGTTCTCAGCGTGCAAATCCCCATAGCCTGTTGTGGTTAGTGTCACTATAGACCAGTAAATTGCAGTTATATATCTGTCCCAAAGGCTTATTTCTTTGAAATTTGGATTAACAGCACCAATCCAAGTTCTTTTTGGATCTGGATATCTATCTGCTATCATGTAGTTAAAGCACCCAGCAAAATGTACTGCGAACAAAGTCACCTGAATTCAATGGGAAAAGGCAGCAATTTATATGTGTAAATTTACTGGCAATTTGCATGAAGTAACGTATAGAACTTGCAGTTGCTTACAGAGATGAGCTTTGTGCAGCGAGTCCAGAAATAGTTGAATCGGATGTCCTTTTCAAGTCTGAAGAAGAAACCAGTGGTTGGTTGTCAAGAGTTATTTGTATAATACTACTCTCTAGACAGGATAGGATGGTACAAAAGATTTTAATACCGTGCAAACAGGGAACTGACTCTTCTGAGACGCCAAAGTCGAAGCATACTGAGAAATTGAAAGCATAATACATCGCTGTGATTCGTGAATAGGAGGCTGATGGATTGAAATGGTATCGTTGAGCAGACATCAAAGATGAACCAGGTGGATAGATACCTGTTAGTCAGATGTAACACAGGTAAACAATTTTACTGCTTGGATGTACTTTACAGATATCTTGAGTCTATAACCAGTAGTTACAGTATGTCCGTAATTACCTTATTGCTATTTTTCGACGATTATCAACTAGAAGATAAGATTGGCTATCAAGATATGCCACAAAGAAGGTGAGAAAAATATCGATGGCGAAGAAACTGTTGACAATGTTGTCTATGATGAACAGGGCATCTTTCTTGTAACGCAAAAATGCAAACTCAAATGGAGAAATCCAGGCTGAATAAATGACCAAGAGAACAAGAAACATCTCCCAGGCCCTGAAATGAACAACAGAAAATGAGAATCAGTGGCCTCTTAATTTGTATCCTCTAGCTTATTACAGAGTTGAGGCAAGTTTTTCACCTATATCGCGGGTTGAATGGGGAAATTATGTATTTTCTGAGTTTTGTTTCCTGGTTAATTCGAGCTCCAAGTGATGGCAGGAGATCGGTAGAGAAGAAACCACTTTGGGTTTCATTACTTGTATGAAAGTCCTCCACGCAGAACCGTTTTATGAAATTTTTTGAAGGTGAGAACCGCATTTTTGGTTTTGAATGACTGAAATGAATCCTTCAAAGCTCTACAATATAGTCTATTCAACTTTGTGGATAGCAGGCCTTTGTTGGGAGTTCATATATAGCAAAGCCGTGGGGAAATGACACGGTTAAAATAATCATTTTGCACTGTTTTCTTTTCAAGAAACACGGTAATATTTCTTTGTTTTGATTGAACAGTTTATGTAAACTGGGGAATACTGGCATGAGATGGAAGTTGAAGTGGCAGACAGTTATATTTGTGTCTAATGCGGTTGCAGGGATGAAATAGGGGAGAAGAAAAAAGGATGAGAAGCTTAGGAAATGCAGGATGGTCCATTGCTCCTATTATCGATGTTCCATCATCAACAAATACCAGATATTGATTATGTTTATGCTTTGTATGATACGTAGATCATACATAACTGGATGAAGGGGAAAAAAAGGTTAAATTTCGTTATTGTTCAACACGGAAAAGGTTTTGGAATCAATTTCCAAAAGAGTATCTTATGCATAATAGAGAATATCTTTAAATTTAAAGAGTAATTTTTTATGCACTCCAACAAGTTTTCTATTTTTTGTCTTTCTTTTTTTTCCCAATAAACATTTATTGATTTATCTTCGTATCTTATTTAAAGTAGTTTTTTTTATATGTTAATGGCCAATCAATTCAAATATGATTTGTTCAATTGTAGAGTATTGAAATTTGTAACTTATTGAATTTTGTTTGATTCTCATTATTTTCAAAATATATTGTTCTCTCTTCTTTTCAACTATACATTCTTCAATAAAATAATACTACACGTAAATTCAAATTTTTCTTTATTTTTTAATTATACATTCTCCATCAATTTACTATTTCAAAATGCATTCTACACCGAAAATGAGGCTCAAACAATTCCAAATGCAATCACTGATAATTAAGAATAGAGAGATAATTAAAAATGGAGAGTGAGTTTGACTTTTTAAATTTGGAGAGTTAAACCTGCTCTTTATTTTAAAAAGTTAAAATAAAGAGTTTCTTGAAATTTATTTTTAAGCATCGGCTCTCAAAAATAAAGAGTTCTTTGAAGATACTTTAATTCCGTGACAGAACGGTTGTATGGCATATTCTTTTTACTCGGGAGCTAAACAAAAAATTGGTGTTTGCATTTCAAACACTAGAAAAGAACCAACAACCATAGGGTCAGCCATGAGGTATGTTTTATGGATGCCATATGGACCAACGGTGACCTCTTATTTGGGAAGTGATAATGGGAACCTTTCCTTTCGATGAGCAGTGTTACAGAATCGTAGACCTGAAGTTGCACCGTTAAAAGTTTGAGATAAAAGAAAATTCTTATTTATATTTGCATTCATGACAGCCGTGGTGGGGGCCGTATAAGATTTTTATGGGATTACAGTAAGTTTGACGTCGGGTGGATTGATTTGAGTGTTTCTATACTAAGAACTACACATTACATTTTGGATATTTCATAAATGGTTCCATTATGGTTCACCAGTTGAGTTCAAGTTCAGTTCTACCCATAACATATTTTTTAAACTGTGGGTTGATAATACAAATTATCTTCAAATATTTAGCAAAGATAGAAAAATATGCCACTAAATAGCATTCAATATCTAGCAGAGCATAAACACTATATTACATATTCGAAAAACAAAATAAAAACTAGAAATCAACAATAAGGAATTTCTAGAGTTTAAAAATGTCAAAAATAATAACATAATAATTAACATTGTTAATTTTTATTTACATGATTACATCACAACACATCATTTTTATTTTTTATTTTTTATTTTTTTTGTAACCTCATTGTCATTGGATTTGTTGATGATTAAGAATGATGTGGAAGTTAGACCAACTAAAAGAAAAATGTTTATTGAGCATCATTGGAAGTGGATCAAATTACAAGGCAATTGTTGGAGTGTTTTTGTGTTGTCTTAGCCCCCGTCATAAGGGGGTGGGGGGATCATTTGGTCCTATTTATAGGATGTGAGTTCATGCCATTTGCCCGTCCAAGTTCTTTGCTGCTACAATATCCACCTAAAAATGCGTGTCATTGCCTGAAAAATTATGATTTCCTGATTGGCTGGTGAGATCGGTTAAATAGGTCATCATGACACCTACGCCTCAACTATGACATCAGATAATGATAATCTAACTCTAGTAATCATGGGTTGTTTGTTATTGGTTGCAAAATAGGTGTTGACGTCAGTGTCTTATGTTTTACTGAGAGTTGTAAGTGGTGAGGTGGAGTTAGTGTAACATGGATTTATTAATCATTATTGTCCCTTCAAATTACGGCGACCAATTTTCGAGTTTAAGCTTTTCCGAGTGTAGTCTGAACTTCTAGTGTGTTGACTTGGGTCCCCTATTCTTTTTCCAATAAATGTTAGGTTGGACGCCAACAGGATTGATGTGAATAAATTGTAAAAAATAAAAAACTTACAAAAATGACAAATTCGATGTCAGAATCGGGTACCTACAGTTCCAATTTCAGTTCCTAATTTTTTTTCTAGAACCAAACCGAAGCCTCAAGTTTCGATTAAATTCCAACTCAAAAGGTTCGATTTTGATTAAAATATTCACCCATTTCAAAGTGATTCTTGATTGTTCTCAAGTTACATGTATGCCTAATGTTCATAGTCTTGAAATATCTTGGAAACTATATGAAAAATGACAAATTCGATGTCAAATCTCCATAAATTCGAATGATATCCTAAATCATAAATTAACACGCTCAGGATTGACTTGACTACTCATCTTTGAATTTGACGCTATAATTTTGGAATTTTTATCTCATAATTGGAGTTACTAAAGTCGGGAAATTTAAAATCTTTCGGTACTCTGAATAAGTGGTGTCGACAAGTTGATAATTTCAAAATGCGAAATAAGGCACCAAAAAAAAAAAAAAAAAAAAAAAAGGAATACATCCATCCCACTCTTTAACTCAAAAGGAAGAGAAGTTCCGAGGGACTACTAATTTAGGCCATATTCGCTCTAGGCTAGAATTCATGATCCCCCATGGGACATCCTATACTTTGGGAAATAGTCAAATGAACGTGGACAATTTGGACCATCTCTCCTAATGATAATATAATATAAAATTAAATTAAAATTCTGGGTTGGATCTCGTGGACAATTGAGGAACCACTACACACGAAAAGGGATATATATCATGGAAAGTGTGTCGACAAAGCCTTTATAAATATTACTTATAAAATAATAAAAATATTTAATTACAATGAGGAATATTCTATAGGATAAATTTCTCCAGCAGTCTTCAATCTTTTGTAAGTGTTAACAGTTACACTTTTAGTTCTATTTGTGACACTCGTGTCTCGAAGTTGTTCGTTCAGTATTGTGACTTGACGAAAAATATATACAGATGAAAATATGAGTGCCACAGATGAAAAGTTAGGGATATAACTATCACACTTATAAAAAAAATTCAAGACTTGGAGGAATTAACCCTATTTTAAAACCAGCATGTGCTTAATTTTTTTTTTTTTTTTTTTGTTATTTGTATTGGCAGTGGACAAATCTCTTTTGCTAACATAAATCTCATCTTTTCAAAAAGAATAAGATACTTAAAATATCAATTTCTTAAGAATATTAAGATCCATTTAGCATGATTTATAAGAAATAGAAATGAGATCTTGATATTCAAAAGCTGCTTTTGAATTTGTTTGATTAATTTTATAAAATTGTTTTTCTAATTCTAAAAAGGTGTAGAGAAGATTCAATGTGACTTCTTCCAAGAGCTCGTTCGAAAGAGAGAGTTCTTTTAAAATTTAATTTACAAACACTAAGCTTGTTTGGGAAGGATTAAAATCCAACTAAAATTGAAAATATAGCCGTTATTGGGTCCCACTCGTCTAATAAAAGTCAACTCCAACGGCAATATTTTCAATTTTAATTTTATTTTAATCCATCACAAACAAACTTCATCAGGTAGCCCTTCGATAAGAAGTAGAAACAAACGCAAAAGCTCTACTGATAGATCCTAGCTTAACTTGACAAGCACTTCTAAAACATGACAACCCGAAATTATATTTTTGACAAGAAAGATTTATATTTTAGAGTATCTCCAATAGACTCTCTATTTTTAAAAAGTATATTCTATTATTTGGAGAGCATCTATAAATTTAGAGGGTTAAAATTCTCCAATAAGCTCTTTATATTTAGAGTAATGCTACTTGTCGCTTACTACAGCAGTCGCCATATGTGGCACACACATGTCAAAGTGTGTATTTGATGCATCAAATAACTACATGTTATGTGTATGCTACATAGGGCGACTACTGCAGAGAGCGACTGCAAGTAGCATTATTCTTATATTTAATACTTAATTTTACTACTTTTAAAAAATATTTATTATTTTTCTTTCTTTTATTTTAACTAGCATTTCTTTATATTATTTTATTGTTTTTGTAGAAAATGAGAATTTGTACCAAACAGGCCCTTAATTTTACTACTCCCAAAAAATATTTATTATTTTTCTTTATATTTTATTTTAATTAGATTTTCTTTAAATTATTTTCTTGTTTTCCTACATTGAAAATTGAAACACTTTAAATGCATTTAATTATAGAGAGTGAGTTAACACACTCTCTAAATTAAAACGTTAATTTAAACAGTCTATTGGAGCATGATTTTAAATGTTGACTCTTTAAAATAGAGAGTATCTCGTGTTTAAAAAATTTCTTGAAGATCCTCTTAGAAAAGTTAATTTCATTCCTTTGCCAAGGAGTAAAAAGTGAATTTGTATCTACTTGAAATCTTGAATAATACATTTGTCTTGAATGCCTCAGGTGGGTATTGGGAAATGGCACATTTGTTCGGGACCCCATTTGTGTGCCCAATCCATTCTCATTTAAGTTTTATTTTATCCGAGGGCCCAAAGAAGATCATGACAAATTATTCATGTCTGATTCTGTCTTACTAGGCATTATAATATATAGCCTATTCACACACGCAAGGGCTGACGCAGACATTTTAAATTAGA